AAAAAGCTAAAGCGTGTCTTCGCATCGATTGAATTCCAAAAATAATGGTCAGTTTTGTTATTTAAGACTATTTTTAGGCATTAAAACAGTTTCCTGTCGTCTGTTGCTACGGAAGGCCAATGGATTGAATCTTGAAAAAGATGGGTCATTTGTTCACAATTTTTAATACTATTCCGGCAAAAATCACCAAAATTTTTATTTAATTTTCATACTTATATCTGTAGTTGTTAGATTTTCTGAGTTATAGATAAATTTATGCATTTGGACAGTTATTTGCTATTTGATATCATTATTACTACCATTATTTTTAATCCGATCTATTGTGACAATTTATTTGTATCTTCATACATTTTTGTAATATTGTAAGGCGCCTCGAACAGCTAGTGATATAGACGATATAGAAATAAAGTTTATTCTTATTATTATCAATAATATCCTTGTGACATGGTCCCTTTAATGATATCTGTACATAAAATGTTAGCACGTGACCACACTAAGGGCATGTTTACATGGAAGTGGGGGACGCCAGGTAGGTGAGGTAACCTGCTCAGGTGAGGTAACCCACCTGTCCATATAATCTCTCTTTTTAATTTGATCACGTTTATATGATAGGTGCGGTGACAACATGCGAGATTATATGGACAGGCGAGTTACCTTACCTAAGCGGGTTATCTCACCTACCTGGGGTCCCTCACCTCCATGTAAACAGGTCCTATGGCCTATTTCCATATCAAAGGCTGAGCGTCTACCCTCGTTTTGAAACAGAGGCCTGGGGAACTCGGAAATGGCTTATTAGTCCAAGACACTCTTGGATGCTGGATTCCACGCCGTAGATTCCGGATTTTAGGTACTGGAATTAAACCGTATCTCAGTTACATCAGCTACCAGAAGATTCCCTCGTAAAATCAGCACATCAGGCAATAAGAAATGAAAGATTACAGGGACTCCAAGACAGGGCAGAGTGTATTATGGAGATGGCACCACAGACGATAAAGTGAGCATTAGATCTCACGGCGGAAAAAAGGGTCATCGGCGTGGCTTACAGCGCCTCCTTTAAGGGAGTTCCGCGACACTGTTAAACTACGTTATGACTGGCCAGTGGATGATATCTCCTCCTCGTGTGTTTGGGGAAGTTTTACCGTAGACCACTCTCTTATTTGCAAAATAGAAGGTTTTGTTACAAAGCGCCACAAAGAGCTAAGAGATCTGGAAGCGGACTTTCTTACGGAAATCGTTATAGGTCACTGCCAATTTTTTTTATGTTTATACTACAATTGTTACTGTTATATATTGCTTAATTTTCAATTCAAATATTATTGCAAATTATATACTAATTTTTTTTACTTAAATAAACATATTTTAATATATACAGTATAAAGACAATATTATTACCACGATCCACATGAAATTGTTACACACGTGTTCAAATATAATGAAATTACTATCAAGCGAAATTACATTCCAAAGCATTTTATTTCCTTTAAAAAAAATAGCCAATTATCTCGATCGTCCAATTTTTACTGTATTTCTAACAGTCAAAAATTCATCCCAAATTGTATTATTTATTTTACTTTCATAGATGAATATCTCACTACGTATGTTAGATAACGACAGCCCCATGGGTTGGTGTCGAACAAACACTTACAAAATACAGACAGCAACAAAGATAAGTAATAAAACTATTCACAAAATTCGTTAAAGCTAAATTGTATTAAAAATAGATAAAAGTCTTACATTTAATTGTAAGATAAAGCTAAAAGTATGTTGTTAAAAATGGATAAATCCTCTGATTTCATTGTAGTAACAGCAGCTTCATTACCTCCAAGTCAACTTCTAATTTTCTCACAGAATTTTTAGGGGCTGTTTAAACTGTCCGGAACATTGGTAATTTTGTTTATAAAGTTCCAAATAACTGGTCCTCTGTACCATAAAGAATGTCTATAACACTCTGATAGAGGGCCACAAGTTTACTAGTTTCTGTAACTATTCTGTGCTACCCTCTTTAAATAAAGTGTATTATTATTATTATTAATTTGTTCAAACTTTACGAACAAGGCGGCGAATGGTTTAACAGGCTCCCATGAACAATACTAGAACATGTAGACATAACCTCGCAATACCGAGAAATGCGACCGTAAGAAAAATAGGTAACGACGTCACTACATTGTCACACACGACAACACCGATGTCCAGATAACACCGGTGATAAAAAATTTCCTCTTTTACTATACTACATCAATGGCGACCGTTTTCTTATATTCTCGATTGTTCAATTTTTACTTTATTTCTAACAGTCAAAAATTCATCCCCAATTTTATTATTTATTTTATTTTTATTGATGAACACCCCACTGCGTATGTTACATAACGGCAGCCCCATAGGTTGGTGTCGATCTACTGGACAAACAGTTACAAAATACAGACAGCAACAAAGATAAGTAATAAAACTATTCACAAAATTCGTTAAAGCCAAATTATATTAAAAATAGATAAAAGTCTTACATTTAATTGAAAGATAAAGCTAAAAATATGTTGTTAAAAATGGTACCGAGAAATACGACCGCAAGAGAAATAGGAACGACGTCACTAAATTGTTACACACGACAACACCGATGTCTAGATAACACCAATCATAACAATTTTTCTCTCTTATCATTATAATAATACATCTGTGGTGACCCGTTCCTTATATCTTTGTTAATGGGCACATATTCCGGCTCAAACTTGGGAGCTACTGTCGCTAAATAAAGGAGATCTGAGGCTGACTTTAATCTCGAAAAACCGTTTATAAGGTAAAAGAACGGCCCGAAAAAAGTGCAAATTGCCGACTGCCTATTACTATGGTCTGACCAACGATAGAAACTCTAGAAACCCCGTTTTATTTAAGCTTACAATTTGGCTCGTACTCTATATTTTGTTAGGTTAAAGCTGCATTTTCTATCATGAGCGATTTTAGTGAAAACTGGTCAAACCGTGAGATATTTGTACTCGTTTAGAGTCTTACCAGTATTCTAAAGAGTGAAGTTGAATAATAAGCCATGCTGGATATACCCTGGCTCCAAAGGTCTGTTCTCGAAATACCTAAGATAAAGTAAACCGTGCTCACGGTTTTTTTTCTCGGCGCTTCGCGCCTCGCTGTAGTGGCTTTGCCGCGAATTATCAGGAATCAGATAAGGGAATAAACCTTAGGCACCCGGGAGCTGACTAGATAAGGAGGAAGACATCGTTTCCGTTCTTTTCTAAAATTTTGTCTGCTTTATTCTTTGTTTTTAGTTCGTTTCTTCGGCTGTTTTTGAACAATAAAAAATTTCCACCGAAAATCGATTCTCTCTCCAAGACTCCATGGTATTTACCCAGAGCGAGGAGAAAGAATAAACCACAAGAGCGCTCAGAAGATCGCTTTCGGCGAGAAGAAAAGTTTTGAAATTTTAAATTTCTTTCAGGGAACGAATGTACATATTTTCCCCTGATGAGGGCAACAATGCCTTCGGAATTTATTTCTTAATTAACAGCTTCTATGATTCTTTTTTACAACAGAGAAAGGAACTGAACAAGGCCTCCTTTCAACTGAAGACAAGAAAAACCGAGCGCTTCAAACGAAAACTATTGACAAGAAGCGTTCTTTAGCAAAGAGTTCTTAATACTAAGTTAACGAGCAATTAAGAATTTTTAAAAAAGGAAGCTTTATAAGATAGTGATACTCTATAACTTTTTTACCTGTGTGTCTTGCCTTTCTTCGGTCGTTTTGGAAGAGCGTCGGAAGCTGACATCGACGTGCCGTGATTAAAGTGCAAACGTGGCTGAACAGTTTCTCTAAAATTTGTTTATCCCGTAAATGTGCATGCTAACATCTTTATCATGAGGAGATGCGCAGCCAGTGAGCTTAAAAAACAAAAAACGCGAGGACAAGATGAGAAAAATGCCCGGAAGTTTCCGGAAGAAATTTTTTATGTCGCAAAAGTGCTGAGCATGCGTACTTAAGGAGCAATGTGGGAGTACTTGATTTGTTGACTTTCACTGCTGGCAATCTAAACTAACTGGGCAATTTCTTAAAATCTACTCATTAAAATTTGACGAGATTATGTCCACATCGCACTTCAGTCCATGAACGCCTAAAAAGAAATTTTGAACAAAGGACATTTGTGACACAATCAAGTTTCTCATGAAAGCTATTTTCTTTAAAAATTTTAAAAACTGTTTTTCTTTTCACAGTTTGGGGCCATTTTAACTCCCAAGAGAAATTGAAGACAATGTTCCCGCAAAATTTTTGGGAGACAAACAAAGAGCATTATGGTATGTTGTGGTATTTTCTGGAGTGGTCAATTGTAATGTCTTAGCAGATATTTTGTCCGTGTCAAATTCGAGTCTTTAATTAACACCCCTGTGAGCGCTAACGATCCACAGCCTATCAGACTGTATTCAGCCACTTAAACTATTAACCATGAAAACTTAAAATCCACAAACTCGCTCACGGCAAAAGTTAATAATAATATTTGAAACTCAAGACGTTAATGTCGTCTCCTGTTTCCGAGGCGCCTAAGGCGATTGTGTTTTAAAATCGACCGGAGAAATAAACCGTCTGTGAGTCGCGCGAATAGTAACTAATTCTCTCATTACTAATACAAATGAATGTACAGGAAGAGATACGGAAATGTGAAAATGGTTGCCGTCCACAGATGTGGACAACGGCATATTCACATGCATTGGAAGTGGTGTCATGCCTGCTGGGGGTCGGGTGGGTGAGTCGCTGGTTATACAGTTGAGATGAACGAGGAATGGCGGGAATATATCGAGCGCTATAAATGGAAATATTCTTGTTCTATTTCCGCTACTGAGAACGTCCACAAAGCGCTCGGACACGCTAAGAAGAAAGTGTATTATACATTCTCTCATTGGAGGTCGGATCACATGCTAAGTAAAATGCATGTAAACTGAGTACCGCGTGACGACAAAAGAAAAGACTGCTTCGCAGAGTAACACAAGATCCGCAAATCCTCACTGGTTTGTCGCTATGTTTCTGCCTTTATTAGATTTTCATATTCCACGCGCTAAGTTATTTAGCCAACCCTGCAGTTTCTGACAGCAATAATAGTCTTACGTGAAGCCGATTGGTAAGGCTGAAAGCCCTTAGGGACCTGGCCGCGGCGAATTGGGCATCACTTAGTCTGCTACACAGCCGTTTTTGGTGTCGTCCCGTGGGGGGGAACGTTGCGTGACGACACTGAAAACGGCTGTGTAGCAGACAAGGTATCACTTAGTGACGTCAGGAATTAAGTTCAAAATCTGACTACGAGAAAATGGAAAACCTCAGCTTAAGAGTTTCGTTACGTTATGTCCTTGGAGTTGCAATAAGAACTGCATTTTCTAATGACACGGTTGAATCTACATAGAAAGCCAGCTTCGCGCTGAAGTCACGTGACTCAAGATACCACAGCCTGCCAGCATCTATGAGTCGCTTACACTGTCGGCCTATTTCTTCTCTTTCTGATACCGTGAATTGCGACCATCTGCAATGAAAATGAAATGCAGCTTTAGAGCTCGAATGTTTTTGCTACAAGTATCGCGCAAAGGTTTGTCAAAGTCAGGTACAAATTTGGAGTTATTTTTCTTTCGATTTGTTTCGGGTCTATCTAAAAATACCACGTAGTTCGACTGTCTGATTCGAAGGCTGCGAATAGTGTGAGCCCCTAGTCTATTCAGCGTAACTTAGACCCTGTTTACATGAAGTGGGGGACCCCGGTCTAGTGGGGTAGGTTTCTTTTGTTTTGTGTCCTCCAGAGCGTGAAAACAAAAGAAACCAACCCCACTAGACCGGGGTCCCCCACTCCATGTAAACAGGCCCTAAATAGAGAAAAGAAGTGTGACGTCACAAAAATTCAAATTTGTGAAATTATGAGATTGGTTAGCATATTCAGAAATAAGAAGATGAAAAAGGCCTCTTTGCTGAAAATCAGCCCGTTAGTGAAAATTGTTGGGTGGATATAAGCACCAGTTTGCTCTGATGACTCCATACAAATCCTTCTAAACTTGGCTTGGATCATAACGTTAACCATCTAGAGCTATTTTAGAAGGATTTATATAGAGCATCGGAGCATTACGGCGCTCATATCTCCTTACCAATTTGCACCAACAGGCTGATTTTTAGGAAGTGAACATTTTTTACCTTGTTTGGATATGCCAACCAATCCCATCATTTCATAAATTTAGTTTTTGTGACGTCACTACCTCTCTTTTTCTATTAGGCTTGATAAAGAGGCACAACGCATAAATTAATTACACACAACAATACCTATCTTGATCAGGGCTTTGATTCCTCTCTTCCTCTTTAACTGAAGTCTTTTCTGTCATAGTATTATGGCCATTCTCATTGTCACTATCCCAGTCTTCGTTATCACCTCCTGAAACTTAGCAATTAACGATAACTCAGTTACAGAAGCTGTTTCGCGATTTAAACATACGCACTACAGCGCTAAGAACCTGACAGAAAGTGGTACAATTATGGTGAGTTTCATCGCAGGTTTATATCGGTCTCCATGTTTTCGCAGTTTGTTTCTTTGTAATTCTTGGCTGTTTTTCGATAATTTGAAGTGTTTCCGTAAGATTTTCCCACAAATGTCATCTTATAGCACTTGCTGCACTGAAAGCCGAGAGGAAGATTAATATCTCAGTTCAAAGTCGATTACCGCCCTTACGCCAGCGATATTTGGTTTTTCAGCGCATATAGTAATTCAGGGATTACCGGGGTCAGATTTCTCTCTGTCACCAGTGCCATGCGCAATAATTCCACCCTAGGTAGTACGGAAATTGTTTTCCGCGATTTGGAACGAACACAGGTTTCCGCGCAATAGTACAGGAGGAAGTTCGGAGTCAAGCACAGGTCACTGTTTCCGCGCTTTAGCATAGAACAATTTTTTACTGCGTTTAGAACCGAACACAGGTGACGCGCGCTTTAGCAGAGACCAAATTTCTTCGCGCTTGGAGTCAAGCACAGATGCTCTCGCGCTTTAGCAGAGAATAATTTTTCCCCCGCTTAAAGCCGAACACAGGTGCTCGGCACCTTAGCACAGAACACTTTTTCCCGCCCTAGGAGCCTTACACAGGCGCCCCGCGCTTTAGCACAGGACTCACTTTTCCCTGCGCTTATAGCGCTTGCTCGTCTCAGCACATCAAACCAGTACCAGACCAGTTCACAGTTTTAAATTGAATTCAAATAATACTTACTAACAACAAACAAACTGTTACCTGTGTGATCGTCAACAGTTTCCCCAGTATTTCCTTTCTGACGTTTCTTAGCCCTTATTCCACAGGTTGCCCAGCTACTTAAACAGCACAACAAATGGAAATCCTCTGCTGTAAAACCCAAATTCTGAAGAAATGGCCGACCAACGTACTGAGGCCATGAGCAACAATGGTGACAACAAAGGGCCAATATTATTCCTTTCACCGGACCTTCACTGGGAGCTATCCTTAATCTCTTGCTTTCCCTGTATTTTAAAACTTGAAAGTTAGATTTAAAAGTACTCGAATGTGAAGGACGCGGTACTATCTTAAAGTGAAAAACAAACATCTGTTTTACCTGAAAGTTCATTTTTCAATGAATTGTGCTTCTCAGTATACAAGTAACTTACAGTATATCTAGAGTCCCTTCAGTATCATACTCTGAAAATTCACGCCGATAAAATTTTTTCCAATAATTTTACATTTGTACCAGAGTTACTTTTAAAGCTGCTGTCTAAAAAGTAAACAACTTTTTACTCCGGAAAATAAATAACGAAACACTAAAAAAGGCATCCCCCTGGAAATAGCCACCCTTACAGGTTGCTAATTCCGAGGGTAAAAAGTAACAAGGGCCGTTATTTGGTGTATTTTCCGGAACGTTACGTTATTTTTCATTATTTAAAGATCATTGTTTCTCAGCTGTTAGAAATGATTGATCGCTGTAGTCTATTTATCTTTTTTATTATTATTTATCTTATTTATTTGTATATATATGTATATTTTAATTTATTAAGAAATGATTTTATTTTTTATTTCTATTTGTAATTCATCTTCATTCTATTATTGTATTTCTGATTATTGTAATTTATTTAATTTATATTGCCTTGATGCGAAAGCGTTGTCAGTTAATAAATGTAGATGTAGGCAGTTGAAATATACTGAACTCTGTGCAGAGCATGTGCTTGTGCAGTGAACCATGAGTTTAGTTGTCGACGCCATGCAGTGTACATGACTTATTTTGTTGGTTCTCACCCTTGCTTCGATGGTTCTTTCCAGGGGGTTTGGTTAACTATTTACTCTCCTCGAAAATCAACATTTCCAATTCCAGTTCAATCTGGAGTACGTAGACAAAGACAGTCAACAGGGTACTCACCGGTCAACAAAACTGTCTTCTGCACTTGGGCTGCTGACTTCTGTGTTCTGAGAATTTATCAATGTCTCCATCAAGCATCTCAGAGTTAAATCTACGACAAGCAAGAATTTGTCTTGTTGTTATTATTCTGACGACTGGTTAGCTCAGTTGATCATCTTTTCCACCACCGACTGTTAGCTCAATAATTGAGCTTATTAATTGAGTACCAAACTTCAGAGGCGGCGTGAAGCCTGGGCAATTGCTGGCCAGACCCATACTAAGGTCTTAAAATAACTGAACAGAATGTGCTGCCTTTCGTTTCACCTCTAAGGAGGTTAGACATTGATATAGTTTTCAGATAAGGACGAAACACCCAGACCCAATCTGGCCCCTGTGAGACGCGAAAGAATCACACCATTCTTCCCAAAGAGTAGAAGAAGTGGATCCCAATGGTACTGCTATAACACTAGCAGATTAAGATAGTAGGGGTATAGTAGTGAAAACTGATTCAGGAGTACACCATTAAAGCATTAAAAGAAAGAGTAATTTTAGGAAGAATTTTCTGTAACATACATGTATGTTAAATGCAGAAAAGTTTCTGATGTCAAACCAAAGAGGACAGCAACCTCTTAGTTCCCAGTCCTTTGGCATTGCTCTGAGTGCTCGCTATCACTAAACAAATCAAACGGCTCCAATTCAGTTCGTTTGATTAATGATTTCATAGTAACACACTGTTTCAAGCAACTGCTCCACACGAACTATCTGACCCTATGTAATAATTTCTGTACATCACAAAGGAAAAGCTCTATGACAAGTGGTCTCCTTCAGTTCACAGGGAATCTTCAGCTCGACACACAACGCTTTATGAAAAGGAGTGTTGTGTGACAACCAAAAGAACTGTTTTATGGGAGGCCACCCTCAAAGGGATCCTCGAATGGATGTCTTACCTGTAGCAGCTCCGCATAAATGTTTACTGATTGCAACAATGTTTTGTTCTCTATTTTTAAGGCAAGGTACTTTACCTGCAACACAAAATCACAATGATTTATCACTAAAATAGCAAATGTAAGCTTGTATTCCTGTTTTGCTTATACATTATTGGCATTCACCAAGGTAGCTCATTAAGGCACTGTAATACAAAACATTTTGTTTAACAGAGCACCCAGTTGTACATAAATTATTTCAAGTCAATATCAAGTTATAGCCTCATATCCTCGCCCCATGTAAGGGAATCCACGCCCGTCTTGGATTCTGGATTTCACGCCACTGTTTCCACATTACAGGTACTGGATTCCGGTCTTTGTCAGTGCAACTTGGATTCTGGATTCCAATAGTTAGCGGGATTCCAGATTCCTTGAGCTGTATTCCAGATTCCAAAGCCCAGGGTTCCAGATTCCACAAGCAAAAATTTCACCAATTCTGGAATCCAGATTCCCTTACTTGGGGCAAGGTTCTCTTTTGCACAACATCTGCTATAGCAACACCTAACCATTCCTGTTGTTATTAAAAAAATTAATTTGCACAAAATGTTGGTTATTAATACACTACTGATGGACATTTCCTCACAAAACCTTTGATATACATTGCTATATATTTGATCGTGTTCTCACTAAGGTCAAGGTGTTCAATATCCAAGTTCAATCGCTGGAAGGATGGGCCTTGATCCTCGCCTCTGTGATAACGATCGTACTAACGACACGAAAAGAAAATAGTTATCATGTTAAAAGTACATAAGACTCACCTAATGCTTCCCTTCAAAAACTTTCAGGACACTGAGCACTATCATTTGGCATTAACTTTTTCTAGGATTGTTTACAGTTCAGTGTACTTGAACATAACAAATACAAGTTGTGATTGGTTAACCAAAGGGTTAGATTTAAAGACATTTTGCTGCTTTGTCAATATTGTATAACAACATATTACAACTACCAACATTGATTTTGCGGAGGGATTGTATAAAGAAAAGTGGTAAAAATAATGGTTATAGAGTATCCCTCCAGATAATTTCCACAAATAAAAAACTGGTATTCACTTACCTTATATCTAATATTTGCTCTGTCAATAAGAAGATAATTTACATCCGTAGCATTATTTCCTACTGCCAACTGTAGCCAGTGAGACAGTTTTCCTACAAACAAACAATGTTCAGACTCTACACTACAAAAGGTGTTTTTATTAAATATAAAATATTGGATGATGAATTATTAGGCTAGATTAATGGAGAAGTTAAATGATGAGCTACTAAAAGAATAATATCATTCTAAACTATTCTTCTCCCTCCCATAAATACAGCATACTTTTAACAGCACCACAGCAAAGTGCTGCTCAGTAACGCAATTCATGCTTTCATTCACAGACTTGAAGTTAGTACCAGCTTATACAGCATAATAAACAGCAATGAAAAAAAGGTTGTTCAGTAGCTCTATTCAGTACATTTGAATGGTCACAGTTCACGACTTCATCCACAGACTGTCCAGAGTTAGAACCACCTTGTACATTGTACAATATAATAAACAGTACCACTGACAGGAAAGGACTGTCCACAAAGCTTACATGATATAATAATTGTCAAACAACATTCTTTACGGTAATGCTATTTTTTGGGAAACTAACTGACCTCTTCCAGCTCCAAATTCTAAAAATGTTGTTTTTGGCTCAAAAAGATGTTGTTGTTCCAAATGACCAATAAGAGAGGCCTGTTTATCAAGGAAATGCAGTCAAGATGTGTACAAAATAATAAATTTTAAAAATGTGACTCAATAATATCAAAAACTGGACCTAACTATGGAAGGAAGACTCATTAATAGCTTGCTCCAATATTGGGAAGTGGGGTGGGGTTTTGTGAAAAAATAAACCGACAAAAATAGATTTCTGTCATTTCTCTCTCAAGTCTCTAATAAAAAACTGACAAAAACACACAATCCATCAACAATTTCATAAATGTCTTTATATTACTAGTAATAACCAAATGTTAGGGAGAGCGAGCAACAATGATCGGAGGTCCAAACTCTTTTGCTCCAACACTGTGCTTTGCCTAAGATGACAGATGGTCAAAACACGCGCAGGTCAGATTACAAGGGATAGAAGGTCGAAACACATGATCAAATTGCGTTTTGTGCATTCCATTCATTCTTAGTGGAAGTCCAAACACATATGTACCATGACAACCTGGAGATTACGATTGCGAGCTCCTCTTGTTGCGCACAACAAGGCATTTGGTGGCAATGACAGAGTATGTGATGCATAAAGATTGAATACTTAAAAACTTACTTGTTGTTTTAAATGTTTCAAAATGGTAGCATTATTAGCCATTTCTAAAAGTTCTTCTTGAAACACCTGGTGGGAAAGTATTTCTTCTGGAATTTTTGGAACATGAGCTGCCAACAAAAATCAGACTGTTAATTTAAGACTAATTATATACATGAGTGCAAATAAACAGTTTTATACAACATGAGGAACTTTTTCTAGATTCAATACTTAATCAAAAAAGGAAATATTTAAAGAATTAATAATATTAAAGCAAACAAACAAAAATAATTAAATTTATCTTTGAAAAAGAAAAATAGCAACTCTGAGACCATAAACCATTATTTTTAAATATAATTATATTCTACTACATATCACATTCCTAACATAATATTTTTATTTTTTCCAAGTTAGATGCTGTGCAAAAGACCTGACCTATAATAAAAAATATGTTTTTATTCTTTATCTTCCAGTCTTTGCACCTTTTTTTTTTTCATGCCAGAATGAAGAAACCCCTTTTGAGCATTCAAACAGTTTATATTAAAATACATGAAAAACAATATTCACCTTTGCAGCATGCCTTAACTTTCTCTATCAATTTTGTTACTTTTTCTTGGGAAACAGAATTTAATGAAACCTGAAGATACAAAAAAATATAGCTCAGCTTACAGAAGGTAAATGCAGGCAAATAAGTGCCATAATAACTGAAATTGGGGTTAAATCTTTGTTGAATCCAGAAATATATTATTATTTTTAGTAAACAAACCATTTTTGTCTAATCCATTTCAATCCTTATGTTTTTGTTTGCTTGTTTGATTGTTTATTGTTTAGGCTGGTTATAGACTTTTCTGTCCCTGGCTAAGAATGTCAAAGATATTCCAACAGCGTCCACACTTCCCTCCTTT